AAGGAAGGCTCCTTGTACGTGATGCAAGGAAAAATCAATGGCGGAGAAGCCAATTCTGTTCGAGATGAACCTAGCTTGGAGCTATGGCACAAGCGCCTCGGCCACATGAGCGAGAAAGGGCTACAGATCCTGAACAAGAAAGGATTATTGACCGGGTTGAAAGGCCAAGCGTTGGAGAGTTGCACGCACTGCCTAGCTGGAAAACAGCACCGGGTTTCCTTTGCGAGACCGGATCGACCAAGAAGACGAAGGAATATTCTTGACCTCGTCCATACTGATGTTTGCTCCATGTCGGAGAAATCTCTTGGAGGAGCTCAGTATTTTGTTTCATTTATTGATGACCATTCCCGCAAAGTGTGGGTATATTTGTTGAAGACTAAAGACCAGGTACTCCAATCCTTTAAAGAATTCCATGCTATGGTTGAAAGGGAGACTGGCAAGAAATTGAAGGTGGTCCGATCTGATAATGGTGGTGAGTATTGCGGCCCATTTGATGCATACTGCAGAGCGGCCGGGATTCGACTTGAGAAGACGCCCCCCAAGACACCTCAGCTGAATGGACTGGCTGAGAGGATGAACATAACAATTGAAGAGAAGGTATGAAGCATGATATCCAATGCCGGGTTACCAAAATCATTCTGGGGAGAAGCCGTCAAAACTGTTGTTGACTTGATCAACCTCTCACCATCACGACCACTTGAAGGAGAAATTCCAGAAGAAGTCTGGACAGGTCGGAAAGCGGCCTATAATCAACTGAAAGTGTTTGGATGCCGAGCTTTCGTGCATATCCCTAAAGATGAAAGGGCCAAACTTGATGCAAAGACCAAAGAATGCATTTATCTTGGTTCGCCGAGATGTGAGTTCGGTTTCCGACTTTGGGATCCAATCAATAAGAAGATCGTGAGAAGCCGAGATGTGATCTTTCATGAGCATGAGAACATTCATGACATCTCGAAGCCCAAAGTCCGGGTTACTGTCAGACGTGAAGAACCCATCCCTCCTATCCGAGCTGAAGCAGGGGGAGAAAATCAAGAAAATGATGATCAGCAACAAGCTGAAGATGACCAAGACATTGAGGTCCGAGTTGATGATGAGATCCAGGATGAGAATGATGAACCGGGTTCTCAAGCTGAAGAACAGCCGAGATATCCAACTCGAGAAAGAAGACCCTCTACGAGATACCCATCTGATGAATACACTGTTGTTGCTGAAGACGGTGAGCCTCAGAGTTATGATGAGGTTATGATGAGCTCAGAGAAAGAAGAATGGGAAAAGGCAATGCAAGACGAGATGAAGTCTCTGCACGAGAATCAAACTTATGAGCTGACTGAGTTGCCAAAAGGAAGACGAGCTCTGAAAAACAAATGGGTCTACAAGATTAAGAATGAAGAGAACGGGCAAAAGCCGAGATACAAAGCCCGGATTGTAGTGAAAGGCTGCAATCAGAAGAAAGGAGTAGACTTTGAGGATATTTTTTCTCCTATGGTGAAAATGACCTCGGTCCGAACCGTATTAGCCATGGCGGCTTCAATGGACCTCGAGGTAGAACAAATAGACGTGAAGACGGCATTTCTTCACGGTGATTTAGAAGAAGAGATATATATGGAGCAACCAGAAGGGTTCCAAGCTCCAGACCAAGAAGACATGGTATGTCGGTTGAAGAAGAGTCTCTATGGCTTGAAGCAAGCACCTCGGCAGTGGTACAAGAAATTTGAATCATTCATGACTGATCATAAGTTTGAAAAGATAGATGTCGACCACTGCGTATTTGTGAAGAGGTATGAGGCCAGAGATTTTCTGATTTTGTTGTTATATGTTGACGACATGCTTATTGTAGGGAAAGATAAATCGAGGATAGCCGCCCTGAAAAAGGCGTTGAGCTCGTCCTTCGCAATGAAGGACCTCGGCCCTGCAAAGCAGATTCTCGGAATAAAGATTATCCGAGATAGATAGAAGAAGCTACTGTGGCTGAGTCAAGAGAAATATATTGAGAAGATTTTGAAGAGATTCAGCATGGACAAAGCCAAAACAGTGAGCACTCCCCTAGCCGGACACATAAAGCTGAACCAAAAGCAATGCCCGAGATCTGATGAAGACAAAGATGAGATGATGAAGGTCCCTTACCAATCCGCCGTCAGAAGCTTGATGTATGCAATGGTTTGCACTAGACCTGACTTGGCGTATGCTGTAGGAATGGTAAGCCGGTATTTGTCAAACCCCGGCAAAGAGCACTGGGAAGCAGTGAAGTGGATCTTCAAGTACCTACGAGGTACGACTGACTTATGTCTCCGTTTTGGAGAAGGCAAAGCCGAGTTGCAAGGCTACTCAGATTCTGATTTAGGGGGAGACGCCGACTCGAGGAAGTCGACTACAAGATATTTGATGAGATTTGCCGGAGGAGCTGTCTCTTGGCAATCAAGACTTCAGAAATGTGTTGCACTATCGACAACTGAGGCTGAGTACATTGTCGCTACTGAGGCAAGCAAAGAGATGCTGTGGATGAAGAAGTTCCTCATAGAACTCGGCCATGATCAAGACAAGTACGAGCTGAGTTGTGACAATCAAAGCGCAATCCATCTTGTAAAGAATTCTACCTATCACTCCCGCACAAAACATATTGATGTGAGGTATCACTGGATCCGGGATGTGGTGGAAGGTGGAGAGCTCGAACTCGTCAAGGTGCACACTGACCAAAATTGGTCCGACATGATGACAAAGCCGGTTCCAGCAAGAAAATTTGAAGACTGCTGTGAAGGAGCCGGGTTGATGCTGAAGCCGGCGCATTGAAGTCGGAGGGGGAGATTTGTTGGACTTCCTCCTTCAATGCTAAGCCCAAGCCCATTTGAGGGGTTTCCTAAAAACCCTAACCCTAATTTCCACCTCCTCTATATATACTCATTAGTTGTGGGTGGAGGCTAGGTCAGATTTGAGAGAACAAATTTGAGAGAATTATTTGATTGTTTGAGCAAAAGCTTTATGCTTTGCATTTGAGAGATCTCTAGAGAGAGTTTGAGTGAAACATCTCTAGGGTAGTTTGATTATCACCATTGTTTGAGAGGTTGAGTTAACCACCACATTGGTGTATTTGATTCGTTGTAACCATTATTTTCATAGTGGATTTCTGATCTGGACTAGGTCCCGTGGGTTTTTACTTCTTCATAGGAGAAGGTTTTCCCACGTTAAATCTGGTTGTGTTCTTCTTCTCTCTCTCCTGTTTTCGTTTTGATTTTCCGTTGCGCTACCCGACCTGGTGAAGTTCAGGCCGAGGTATTGCCGAGATCCGAGATCAGGATCTTGTTGATTGACTTCCGCACTAAGGCTGCTTAGCCGAGCTTGAGGGAACCGAGTTTTCCCAACACAACTTTCTCCCCAATGATTTTTATTCCTTGTGTCTATCTTTCTCCTAAAGTGATATAACTTACATCTAGGGGTCTAAATAGGCCAGGCTAGCCCGGCCCGGCCTACATTGAGCTCGGCCCAGGCCCGACCTTTCAGAAAAGTAGAGTAGGCTTAGTCTTATAAAAAGGTTTTTTTTAACAAATAGGCCATAAGCCAATTTTGTCAAGCCCGGCCTACAATCTTGTAGGCTGGCCTATTTAATTTATTAAAATAAATTAAAATCGATGTTTTGAATGAAGTTTGCTCCTCGTAAAATTGAATATGATGAATGTTGGTTCGATTCTTGTAGGTATTAATAAATCACACGTAACATCCACTCCTAAACTTTGTCGAGATATATATGGGAAAAATATTTGTCATTTTAAATGACATAAAGTTATGTCATTTTAAGAGAGAGATAGACACAAAATAATTTTTTTATTTAAAATTTAAATTAAGAAAAACCACCCACTGTCTCTCTCACATGATTTCCATTTTTGTGTCTAACTTTCCTAAAATGACATAACTTATATACTTTAAAATGATAAACACCAAACCTTATATATATGGGATAGGATATTGTGACACCCAAGTTATGTTACACCCATGTGACACCCAGTCAATCTCACCGTTAGATCGCTTATGTTGATCCAACGGTTATATTTATTTCCATCTTTGTATGGTCATGATTTCCCAAATTTAAAGTGAAAGCATTAAATATGGGAAATCATAACCATACAAAGGTAGAAATAAATATAAAATATTAAATTTGGGAAATCATGACCATACAAAGATGGAAATATATATAACCGTTGGATCAACATAAGCGATCTAACGGTGAGATTGACTGGGTGTCACATGGGTGTAACATAACTTGGGTGTCACAATATCCTATCCCTATATATATATTATCAAAAAAATATTTCTGTAATCACTACAGATAAATTATCTGCATTTACTCCTAAAACAACGTCGTTTTGGGATTGAAATGTTAAAAAATTATAATTATAAGTGTAAAGAACCAATTCAACCCAAAAGCTTAAACTGTTGGGTGATGCTACATTAATGGTTTTATATATTTCAACACGCATCCTCACACGAGAGCTCACTGGCTTGAAGGGTGGACAATGCACAAGCCCACCTACCTGTGCGAAGAAAGAAATTCCACTAGAAAGAAAGTGGGGAGCGGTGATGATCGAACCCGGTACATCGAGGTTCTGAAGCCATGTAAAGAACCTTGGGATACACCACCCCGAAAGCTAGCTCAAGGGGTGGGAGTGCTCAAGACCTTATAAACTCCACATTAGTTGCACATACAACCAATGTGAGACTATATATTTCAACAAGATTATAATAATCCTGAAATAAATTAAAATTACAAAAATACTATATTTTTTGCTCCAAAATGCAGTAATCAGATAAGGAAACTCATATTTTATTTAAAAAAACGATTATTGTGCGTTACTGACTTAAACTAAACAAATCGAGGACCGAGAGATTTGAGGGAAAAACAAAACAATACCAGTCGATCAAAACTGTAGAATTAATATTACAAAAAAAAAAAAAAAACTGTAGAATTAAATAAAAAGGGTTGGTTGAGTGTTGGAGACTGAAAACCAAAGAAAGATGTGGCGCACAGTAGACAGCACCCACCTCACCCTCAAAACCTTGCGCCTTCGTTCCTTCATCTTCTCTTCTTCTTCTTCTTCTTCTTCTTCCTCTTTTTCAGTTTCAAACACAAACATTTGTTATTCTTCATCTTTGAGTTTGAGTTTGAGAACAATCATCACTTACTCACACTCTTTTCTTCCCATTCCCTCAACAACCCATGTTTCCTTCACTGTTCCCCCCCACCATTTTGTGTCCAATTTTGGTTCCTGCGTCACGCGCTGCGTTTCTTCACTTCCCAATCCCACCCTAGACTGGAACGACGCCGTTTCATGCTCGGAGGTTAATGCTGAGGTCAATGATGGAACCCTCGACCAAGATACAAAGCCTTCCATTCCTGTTAGAGCCTTCTTCTTCTCTACAAGGTATCTGTTTTTGTTTATTTTAATTTCAATAAACAAGAAAAATTCGTAACATTTCTTGAAAGTTCGTTTTTGAATTATTCTTTATTATATTATCATTATTATTTTTGTAAAACAATTTTTTAGGACAAGAAAAATTAAAAAGAAAAAATGTATATTTTTAAGAAAACAAAATAATTATATGGATCCTATTGGATTAAAAGAAACACTTGAATAAAAAAGAATAACTTGGATCCTATTGAATTGTGGATATACTTAAATCATATTGCTCCTAATACATTATACCATGTTTTCGTCTTATTCACATAAACGTTCTTATGTAATTTAGTGAATGGTGATAGCTATGAAGCCTTGATTAGTGGTTTAGGTTCCTTCAAAAGGTTACCATTGAAGACTATGCATCAATGGGCTTATATTTTCCCATTGCTAGAATAATTTGTCACACTATCATCAATTTGTGAATATAATTATGAATTGTGCAATATAGAGTAACTGCATGTCGAAGCGTTGTGGGCTTGTAAGTTGGCATTAATTTTAAATTTGGAAAATGTGCCTTCAGTGTTCCAAAACTGTGCTCATTGATTATTCTCATTGAACTATGCTAGTAGTTAAGTAACTCCTCAGGATTTTGGGATTGTGAACCACAAAAGGTGTGATATTCTAATGCTGTTGTCATAGGAAAGCAATTACATTTTGGAGAAATGGACAGACAACATAGAATGTTTCTTCTTTGAGTACTTTAGGGAAATTCAGGAAGTGATAGGGTAAAATAATGCAGAATTTTTGGAATTTGATAATTAAATGTTGCTATCTACTTGATGGCTTGCTGCTTCAGATATATATATATATATATATATATATATATATATATATATTGTTTTTTAGATATCTCAGTTTCATTTCTTTGGATGTAGTGTTGATTTGAAAAGCTTGATGGAACAGAACAAACTGAACTTTGTCCCACCATCGTCACGAATGACTAATTATGTTGTTCTCAAGTTTGGCGATGTTTGCGATTCCAAGGTATATCTCTCATGGGTAATGTTCTTGTTTTTTTTCCCTCACTATTTACCCATGTTCTACCCTGTTTTCCTCACTTTATAACTTTTAATTGTTGGAAATATGCTATTTATGAAGTTGCAGATTCTATAAGGCATGGAATTCATTATATTCACACATTGTGTTCATTATATGTCTTTAATCTTTATCCTAAGTGCAACATCAAGAAAAGGTGTAAAAGGAACAATTGATAATAGTATCTTGAGAGTTGACACTCGTAAGTGCATATCAATCTGCATGTTTTGTTTTATTTTATCTGGAGGAAAGAGATATAATGGAGAAGTTTTGCAATCTTAAATAATTATTGGGTAACTATCATTTCTTTTTTCTTGTCTTTATTGGTTAACATTTTGCATATCAAAAAATGCCATGAGACCAAACTCATGCGCGAGGGATATAATTTAGATTTAGATGGACTACCTATAGAATGAGGTTTAGAAAATGTTGAAGTTGGAGAAATCATTTTTGTTCTTACATATTGCTGTAACGTGTGTGAATCCTGATAATATAAACATCTTTACATTGTACTGGATCAAATCTACTTCTCTGCGTGTAGCCTTGGACATATTGTACCATGTGCATGCTTTTTATGGGTGGGGGTATTTAAGTCGTGCAACATAAAGGACTGAAGGAAGGAGAAAACATATAGGCAGAGTTTTCATGCTGGGGTTGAAAATTATGGATAACATTTGCAAGATTCTTTGTCTGGTATTGGCTTGTTATGAAATGTGGATTTTGGTAGCTTAAGCCACAACAGTTTTTTGAGGTTTTGTATCATGTTAATTAGCAAGGAGTACGAATTTTAAGTTGTTAAATTGCCTGAATCTTCATCCTCTCCCTTTCTTTTGTTGGTGTTTCATTCACGTGGTCTATTATGTATGTGAAAAGTTTTCATGCACTGGATGATTAAGTGTATTCTGTGGCTTCAACTGTTATGGAATTATTTTTAATCATAAGACCGATGACAGTATCTGAAAACTGTTTTGTTTCAGGGTCTTGGTACATGTTTCTTGAATGGAAGAAATGGCTGTTACATGGTTGTTTTTCAATATGGCTCCATTGTATTGTTTAATGTCCATGAGCATGAGGTTGATGGCTATCTGAAAATTGTAAAGAAGCATGCATCTGGTTTGCTTCCTGAAATGAGAAAGGATGGTGAGTTTTTATATCCAATTTGTTTTTAAAATATATTTGATCTATGCTATATTTTGACTGAAAAGTCATGAGTTCGAATCCAGGAAATAACATCTTTGCAATTATGCAAGGTAAGGCTGCGTACAAGGATTATCTCCACCCCACACTCGCTAGTCGGGTTTAACGGGGAGTTTTTTATTTTTTATTTTATTTTTAATGCTATAATTTGGTGTATTTGGTTGGGGACAAAACTCTCATATTTTTAATGAGGTTTCTTCAGCACATAATTTGATTTGGAATAAGATTTGGTCATAGATGAAAATAGCGCCGCAATAGCGCGCAATATCGCTATTGTAGCGGGTAGCGGCCATATGCCGCAACAGAACGCACGCAGCGCTACTATTCAATGTAGCGGCAGTAGCGGTCAACAATTTGCAGTAGCAGATAGCGTGGTTAGCGGGGCAATTGCACGCTACAGTGAGAAAGCAATGGAAAAGGAGGAACGGAGGGTATTATGGTCAAAAACTTTAATTATAAGGGTAAAATAGATTTTTTAATCTGAACCTACTTGGGCTTTATCACTAGGGGAAAGGAAAAAGAAAGTGTTGATAATGAAGGTGGTGGTGATGAGGAAATTGAAGAAGAGGAAGAACAAATTTATAATTTTAGTACTAGTGACAGTGAGGATGGAGAAGACTTCTTAGAAGATGGTGGAGATGATGATTTTGCTTAGTTCCTTTCTTGATTTTGAAATAGACCATTAAAATTCGTATTTGACAATATTTAGATCCTTCCTTATGTTCCTTGATTTTTGTTAATGTAGTTCTTTTCAAGGAATTTATATTATTTCCTTTATATTCTTTGAATCCTTGTTTGGAATGAAAGTGACAATAGAATTAATTATGAATGTATATTTTTAATTTTAATTAATTTTTTTACGGACTTCGCTGTAGCGGTTATACCGCTACCCGCTATACCGCTATAGCATTTTTGAGCTTGGCCGCTATCGGCCGCTACCCGCTATTAATAACTATGGATTTGGTGTTTGGTTTCTATTTGGTGCAAACAATATGGCCTTTCCAGTAGGGTTTCATTAACAGACATTTTAAGGGATATGGAAGCTCTGTTCCATTGATTTTATCTTCTTTATTGATTGTTTTCTGTTTTGTTCTTTTGCTTATGAGGATTCCTTATCCTCCTTTCCCTTTGTAATATTTTCTCATCATAATAATTTCTTCCTTCATCAAAAGAAGAAAAAATATTATTTTGAAATTGGTTGACATGTGATTGTCATGCATGATCAGCTTGCCTTGACTGTTACAATGATGGACACTTCTACACACCAGAAAATTGATGAGTCAGTGCTTCGATAAATTATTACTGATAGCTTTTTCATTGTTGGGACGGAACCTCTCATGTTGGATCTCTGATTTTAGACCCTTCAGGATCCTTTACATCTAAATATTTTCTTTTTATATCTTATTAGTATATTGCTCAAAAAAGTTTGGCATTGACTAGTATTTGTTTTTGGAATGCTAAAGCTCTTAATCGATAATGCTTTGTTTGAACTGTGTTACTTTATGACAATGAACACTTCACAGTGTCTAGAGTCTAGACATATGTTCCTTTTCCCTGATTTGTCATAAAAGCTTGTAGGCTCAGAGCCTATATTTTACATTGTGATGTAGCTTGGAATTTTTGATCTAAGTGATGGAGGACAAGCTGTACTTTTTTTTTCTTTGTAGACGAGTGAACCAAATATTACCATTTGTGCCTGTATTTTTATTTTTAATTTTATTTTGGGGTAGATATGCTATTACCATATTGTTGTAAATACATTTATGAGTAAATACCCTTTTGGGTCCTAAACAAAAAACACAGAATCCATTTTAATCCCTTAGGAAACAAGTACCCATATTAGTCCTTTTTGAGGGACTAATGTGAGTCTTCTTTGAATTTCTGAGGGACCACGATTTCAAAGAACTGGAATTTCAGAGGGACCACAAGTCGATTTTTTTTTCTTAGGGATTAAAATAGATTATGTGTTTTTCGTTGAGGAGCCAAAATGGTATTTACTCTACATTTATTTATTGATTATAATTTAAGCTTCCACGGTCTTAGAATATTTTATAGGTTAACATGCTTTTATACAATTTGATTTTTACTCTGTTTTGAAATTCTAGAGTATGAAGTTAGAGAAAAACCAGCTTTAAGCACATGGATGCAAAGTGGACTAGATTATATAATGTTACAATACTTGAACATTGATGGAATTCGAACTATTGGTAGTGTTCTGGGTCAAAGTATTGCTCTTGATTACTATGGCCGACAGGTATATTCTACATATGGTTGTGATTTTTTGATATTTGGATATACCGTATACTGGTGATATTTCTCGAAGGCAATAGTTAGCCACCTTTTACTTTTAATTTGTAGGTTGATGGAATGGTTGCAGAATTTACAGACATAAACCGTGAGATGGAAGCCACTGGAAAATTCAGAATGCAAAGGAAAAAACTTTTCCAGTTGGTGGGCAAGGCAAATTCAAATCTTGCTGATGTAATTCTAAAGCTTGGACTTTTTGAGAGGTAATAATTCTATTTGTGGAGACAAATAGCATCGGTTAAATTTTAGTGTTTGAATTTCGAAAGAGAAATTGTACTTGCTGTCATGCTCCAGGATAATTGCTCCCCATTGATTGCGCCCCAATAATTACGTTCAATCATTGCGTGATTTCAGAAAATTATTCTGATCTTTTTTATTTGCTTCCTAATCTGTTGTGATTTTATTTTCGATTTTTTATGCTGATTTCTTTCCCTAATTAGTGGTAGCTGATTTACGGGGATTGTACCCTTTCATCTCAGGAAAAAGGCTGACCTGATGTGAAGCCTTTATTGTCTATATATTGTACTAATCCCTTTGATGAAAAGCAAGTTAGAAATTTAAATTATTCTGAAAAATTATCATTCCTTTACCAAAATTCTTTATGGTATCAGAGCCCTCAATCTGAGGGCCTGATTACCCATGGGTCCACTATGATTTGGCACGATGAGGGCTCTCCAAACAACCAGCCCTGATGATGCTTCTGTTGCATCCTAACCGCAACTCAACAAGGACTCGCTTGCATCACCTATTATAACAACTTCAAATGATAGCCCTTCAATGGTGATCACTGGATACTGATTTAATGGGACAAATTATCTCATATAGTCCCAGAGTGTCATAATGTTTACTTGGGGCAAAGGGAAGATGACAACCTAACTAACAACGCACTAAAGCCCCCAAAATGCAATCCAAAATTCCCAGAATGGGAGGTGGAAAACTCGCTGGTGATGTCTTGGCTGGTGAACTCCATGACGATAGAGATTGGAGAAACATATGTTATGCTCTAGCGCCAAGGAAATTTGGGATGTGGTGAAGGAATCTTTCTCGAAGGTGGACAATTCCGCTACCCGCTTTCAATTCAAGGGAATTCTCAAGGACCTTAAACAAGGCGTAAAAGACGTCTGATACGGACGTGGCGTTAAGTAACAGATTCAGGAAAGTGTATCAACAGAAGTAGAGGATCACAAGCCCCTCATGCTGAGTCAGCAGTTTGTTAAAAAAAAAGGGGAGCACACAGGCAGCACCCACATACAGCAACATCCACAGGCGATTTGGGGGTCACACGCTCAACACCCACACTCTTACTTATAGCAGAGAATAATACAGTAGCGTCATCTTGAGAATTTTGGGACCTTTTTGGTATTGGCATTAGGAGAGAACCATGGCCTCTTGAATGCCTTGGGTTGTAGTTGCCTTTGGAGAATATTGATCTAGAGTCTGTAATTTTTTCTGTTGTTGTCTTGAATTGGTTAACTTCCTGGAGTTTGTCATTGTAAATTTGAGCTGAAACCCAGATGGGAGGATTCATATTATAAATACAGCGTTCTTTACTCTTAGAGTGGTCTTATTGTTTAATTTCTTCCGTAATTTACTCTTAGGACCCATCCCTTTCAAAGTCCATAGCCTCATTAAAGTCCATAATAAAGGCGCTCCAGAGTGAAGGGGAAGGATTCTTGATCGAGCAAAAACTGATGGAGGGTGAAGGTAGGGGTACTTCGTGGAAGGAATTAGAAGAGCTGTTGATAGAGTTTCAGGACTTATTCCCGGAGCCAACAAGACTTCCTCCTAGCAGAAGTCAAGATCATGCTATAACTTCGAAACTAGGTAGCCAAATTCCAAACTGTCGTCCTTACAGGTATCCATACTATCAGAAAACAAATAGAAAAGTTAGTATCTGAGTTGTTGGGTAATAGATGGATTAAGCAGAGTATCAGTCCATATGCTAGCCCTGTTATCTTAGTAAAAAAAAGATGGAAGTTGGCGTGTATGTGTAGATTATAGGGCTTTAAATAAACATATTGTGCTTGATAAGTTCCCAATTCCAATGATTGGTGAATTACTCAATGAGGTGGGAGGGTCAAGGGGCCTTACTAATCTAAAAAAAGATAACTTTCAGTGGGGAGAGGAGATAACTTTCAGTGGGGAGAGGAAGCTCAAGGGGCCTTTGAGATGATGAAGGAGTTGATGTGTAAGGTGCCAATTTTGGCCCTACCCAACTTTACCAAGGAATTCACAGTAGTGACTGACGCTTCATGCAAAAGGGTAGGAGCTGTGTTAGTGCAAGAAAATAGGCCCATTGCCTATATCAGCCAAGGATTTTCCCCAAAGGCTTTGGCTAAATCCGTTTATGAAAAGGAACTAATGGCCATAGTGTTTGCTGTCCAGAAATGGAAGCATTATCTAATGGGCAAACATTTTAAAATTAAAACAGACCAAAGAACCCTACGGTTCCTTACAGGTCAAAATGCCCTAGGAGAAGAGCAACAAAAATGGATATTGAAGTTGCTAAGATATATTTTGAGATCATATTTCAGCCCGGTAAAGAGAATGTTGTTGTAGATGCCTTATCTAGGCAAAAGCAGTTTGTTGCCATTTCTTGTTTGGAATTGAACAATTTGGTAGAACTGGAGAGGGAGGTTGAAGCTGATTCCAAGCTGCGCGGTATCATTCAAGACTTGTTGAATCTGCAGTCCCATCTTGGTTCTGAGGTGTGTGGAGGAAGACTATTGTATCAAGGAAGGTTGGCACTACCTCAGAATTCGCAATTAATTCCCTTGCTGTCGGAAGAATTTCATGATTCCCAAATAGGAGGCCATTCAGGTTCTCTACGTACTTATAAGAAAATTGCTGGAGTTGTATACTGTGAAGGAATGAGAAGACAGATTAAGAACTATGTGGCGAATTGTAATGTGTGTCAACAGCATAAAATTCAAAGTTTGTCTCCAGTTGGGTTGCTGAATCCCTTGCCTATTCCCACTAAAGTCTGGTCTGACATTTCAATAGATTTTGTTGGAGGGCTGCCATGAGCTTTTGGAGTTGACACCATCTTCGTAATCATTGATAGGCTGACCAAATATGCATATTTTGTGGCTGTAAGTCACCCTTACACAGCCAAGTCTATAGCCGAAGTGTTTGTTAAGGAAATTGTTAGGCTGCACGGGTCCAAGCACTTTCTGGTCAGAACTGTTCAGATTATCTGGCACTCACTTGAACTACACCACTGCCTATCACCCACAGTCTAACGGGCAGTCAAAAGTGGTCAACTGCTGTTTGGAGGTGTACTTGCGTTGTTTTTTGCAGCCCAAAGCCCAAACACTGGCCCGTTGTTTTTTGCAGCCCAAAGCCCAAACACTGGCCCAAATGGCTGCATTGGGCAGAATATTGTTATAATACCACATTCAAGGAATCCACTAGCATGACTCCATTCAAGGTGTTATATGGCAATGATCCACCTAGTCTTTTTCTAGCAAAAACACCTGATACTGCAGTTGATGAAATTTCTAGATTGTTATTTGAGAGAGACACCATTCTTAATGATTTGCAGCACAATCTGAGACTCGCACAGAACCGTATGAAGGTTCAGGCTGACCGTCATAGGAGAGAGGTAATATTTGAGGAAGGAGAACTGTTTATCTAAAGCTTCAGCCATACCGTTTAAGGAAATAAGGAAAGTACTAATATACGTGTTTCCCTTAAGTTAAAGCATATAAATCTTGTTATCAAAAAAAAAAAAAAAAAAAGCATATAAATCATATGCACCAACCTCATTACGAATATAACTAATATGAAAGGATTACTTGTTGAAGAAAATAAGATTTATATTCTATTTATGATGGAAACAGAGGGCATGCAATTCAAAACTTGATTCCCTAATAGAAGGTTTAAGTCTCAGGAGGTTCCGCCTATGTGAACTTTGAGTATTGATTGGTCATAAGGATCTTGTTAAATCAGATTGCACTTGTCTTTGCTGCCTTCTTCAGTTTCAGTATAGTTAAATGTAAAAGAATACGTTGTGTATTGATCTGTGTCAGGGAGTTACAATATATAGAGACCCTAATGGGCTTAAGTGTAAGGCCCAAACCTAATCCAAACCTAATCCTAATACAGTCAGAATACAGTCAGACTATTTACGGATAAGACAGAATCCAATCATATCTAATCAAATCTAATCATATCATATCTAATATTCTAACACTCCCTCTCAAGCTGGTGCGTATATATTATGAGCACCAAGCTTGTTACAAATGTATTCAACCCGAGGACCTCTAAGAGCTTTAGTGAAAACATCTGCTAGTTGATTAGACGAGTTGACAAAAGCTGTCTTGATTTCTCCTGACTGAATCTTTTCCCGAATGAAGTGACAATCAATCTCTATATGTTTGGTCCTCTCATGAAAAACAGGATTAGAGGATATATGTAGCGCAGCTTGATTATCACAGATGAGTGTCATGGGTTGTTTCTGTTCACAAAGATGAAGCTTCTGAATCAACTGCTTTAACCAGATCAACTCACAGGTAGTATTTGCCATTGCACGATACTCAGCTTCTGCACTAGATCGGGAAACAACAGGTTGTTTCTTGCTTTTCCATGAGATTAAGTTTCCTCCGAAGAAGACACAATAACCAGAAGTAGAGCGTCTGTCCGAGGGTGATCCTGCCCAATCGGCATCTGAGTAACCACAAATTTCTGTATTTCCCTGATCCGAATACAACAAACCTTTTCCTGGTGCTCCTTTGATGTATCGGAGGATCTCACAGCAGCATCCCAATGTGAATCACAAGGGGTATCAAGGAACTGACTGGCCGTACTGACAACGAAAGAAATATTTGGCCTAGTCACAGTAAGATAATTGAGCTTCCCAATCAGCCTTCGATAACATCCAGGATCAGATAACGGCTCCCCCTGTCTGGGCAATAACTTAACATTAGGATCCATGGGTGTATCAACTGGTTTACACCCCAACATACCAGTCTCCTCTAGGATATCCAAGGCATACTTCCTTTGACAGATAGAAATGCCCTGTCTAGATTGCGCCACCTCAATTCCCAAGAAGTAACGCAGCTTCCCAAGGTCCTTTGTTTGAAATGCACTGAATAAATGTTGTTTTAACTGATGGATTCCGTCTTGATCACTTCCGGTGAGGATGATGTCATCAACATAGACTAACAAATAGATGCACTTGTTAGGAGATGTAATCCTATAG